ACATAATTTTTCTTGGAAGAAAAACATTGTAGACAACATTCCCTGTACCTATGACAACCAATCCTACGACAAAATAAACAAACCAACCACCAAAGATCATGATCGAGCATGTCTTTTTGTTGAACCATCTCTTGTATTTGTGCTGTTTACAGACGCAAAAATATCGATTGACCGCCATCATAGCTATGGTGTAGGCAGAAACGTTTAGCAAAATCAATGAGATTGTTCCCTGGAAATCGCAAACCGTCTGCCCCATCTCAAACCGACTGACGGCTGATGAAATCACAGAGATAGGCAAAACCAACATCGGGTATAATATATCAGTCATCGCGAGGGAGAGTACGAAGTAGTTAGTGATGGTACGAAGCCTGGGATTACGATAGATGGAGATTACTACCAGAAGATTTCCTCCAATGGCAATCAGTCCAATAAGGATTAAAATACTTGTCTCTACAGCGATGGTAGCTGGACTGCGGTTCCAGAAATCTCGCCATTTCTGAGACACATGAGGCGTGGAGATAGTCGAATTCATCTAAAAAATATGAAACACTCTGTTAATTTTACGAACCGAAATGGCCGTTTTTTTCTGTGCTAATCGCAAGGCTCGGCTTGCCTGTAATTCAAACTTCGAGAGGGTAAATTTCGGCTTTTTTCCAACCTCTAATATACCTTTAAAGTTAATTATAATTTATGTAACTAGGAACAACTCGTGGAGAAAAGAAAGAAAGAGATGGATAGATAGATAGATAGAAAGATAGAAGGAAAAAAGATGAAGGGAAGTAAGGAACGAAAGAATATAGAAGGAAAAGTGATAGGCAATCCATAAATACCATACACTCGATTTATCAGTGATGTTTTCAATGGTCTGGAAACCCATTTCTTCCATCGATCATCAACAGCTGAAAAAAATAAAGTTTTCAACCTCACTATGTCCTTGAGTTTCGTGGTTTCTTCCTCATTGTATCGCGGCCTTTTGAACGATTTCAGTATTATTTCGAGCCAAGACTCAAAAGACAAAGTTTGGATTTAGTTATTGAGATGTAACAGCCATCTGCTCGCACCACTCAGACATCTTTTTTTTAGCCTCTAAAATAAAAGCCTTGATAACTCTCCTGACATGCATTTACTTGATTTTATTATCATTACAATCATCACTCTTATCAAAGCTTTTAATTTTTCGTCTAGTTTCATCGACAAGTTAAGTCTTCGTGCTTCGAGCAGTCTTTGTGATCCAAAACCTGATAGAAGAGCGCCTCAATAGTTGACCAGCTCAGCTAAAAAAATGTGGTAGCTATTTTTTTTTTTTTAATTTGTTTTTTCATTTTTAGAGGTCGGGTATCAATTGGCATGGGACAGTGTCCTGTTTTCTTCCAAGAAAAAGTCAAGTCAAGTCTAATCTCAAGGAACATGCTTTCAAGCCAATATTATGTTTTCATACAAGTCCATTCTCAAGGAACAGACTTTTGAGATACCAATTCCCTTCATCATAATTAGAGCTAGCCGTAGTTAATAATACTGAAATATTCTCAAGCAAATTTCGCAAAAATCTAATGTCTGGGGAAAAAAAGCGTCGTCATTCGTGTAGCGATTAAAATGAGCCAAACTTTGCTACTTAATATGACATATTCAAGTGAGAGCTTTGTTAGTAATGTATGTTGTAAATGGTGCAAAAGTTAAGATCAAGAAACTACGAAAATTCACGGACAGACGCGTTGGAGAACCTAGCGAATAAAGACCTTTAAAAAGAAAAAAAAATCGTAAGAAAACTGTTGTGCTAATGTTCTAACCTCTGTGATGAAAGATGAGAAGCTCCTAGATTGATTATCACAAAAGCCAGACTTTTTCCTTTGAGTTTATTAGGAGCCCACAAGGAACCGGAGAACACAATGTCAGGAAAAGATTAAAGGTTTCGAAAATGATGAATTAGTTTAAAGCAGCCTTTTGCGTTGTGACGTAATGGTGACATCATAGGAATCGTTTACCGCTTATTTTCTCGAAAACTAGAGCTAAACTTCCAAAGCGACTTGTACCAGTCGATAGTATTCATCAAGGCACCCAACATATTGCAGTATGAAAAAAATGTATGAGAGAGTTTTCCAAATATTTCGCAATGAATATTTTCATGGACTTTTACTACTATTTCCAGCGTGTCAACTTTATACCCTCAAAATCGGGACTTTAATTTAGTGGATTCGATATTTTTAGTAGCTAGAATATAGGTACGGATATAGACACTGTCCTTATTGAGTATGAATCAAATTGTGACTTTCTTTCTAACGTTATGGATTTTTTGATATGAAGCTAAATGACCCCATTTGTTGTCAAAAGCGATAGAAAATATCGATGAAAGCGGCATTCAAAAAATCGTCGAACGATTTTTTTCTAAATGTAGTCACTGAAAGATGTATCTTTTACTATGCACTGAAGGGTTTTGAGGCAGTCAAATAAAAATAAGTACGCTCACAACTAACAGGACACGACAAGGAATAACACGGAAGTCAAGGTGAATAGTCAACAAGCAGCCGTGAGCGAAAGCACCCCAAAATGAGAACATTTACCAAGTTTGAGAGTGACAAATTGGAAACAGCCGAAGACATGGCAATGGAAAGTCACGAAATTTTCCAGATGTTTGTAAGGTGGGGGCACAATTAAACTTGCTCAAACTTAACTTTTCTAAATTTTGAGGAGTTCTGTCCAATAGTGTTGATCGATTTTTGCTCACTTGCTCATATCGAAAGCCTTGAAAATTACTCGTTAATTTATAGTGGCAGACAGTTGAATAGGCAACCATGTTGCATTGCACCCTGTTACAAAAAAAAAAACACAAGAGATCACGTGTCTTAAAATATATTTTTTCATGCTTGGTGTAAAAATCCCCGAAAGTTAAAAAAATCGACCACGCCTCCTTTGTCGAACCCATCTCTTTCTGCTTGGATATATCGAATGAAATAATTTTGCTGGGCCCCGAAATTCACCCCAAATAATAATAATAATAATAATAATAATAATAATAATAATAATAATAAAACAAGGCAGGCAAATAAGACAAATAGATTTTCCTCACCTACAAATTTGCGTTTTGCAAATACAACCGTACGTGACGAACAAATGGCTTCTTTTGTAAAGCCAATCAAATACAAAGCTCAGTTGTCAATCATAGTGTTTGACTTTCAAGCCATTAAAGAGACAAGGCACTGCTTATCAGCACAATAGCTTCACAACCACAAAAAAAGGTCTGAATTTTGTACTTTAATCACGATTTGTAGAACCATGTCAAAGTCTTAGAAACAAGGATTTTACATACGTAAAGTTCACGTATCAAAGTTTTTAGAGAGAAATATATAGAAAGAGGTAACTATTGGTTGAATTTTTCGGGTAACTAATTTTAGCCACGATTAAAAGCACGCATTTTAATCGTTTTTTAAATATTCCTTATTAAGATAAACTTCATCCTTTCAATTTCGTTTGGAAATGAAAACTCAGCATTCAAACTGAAAATTTCGCAATGCTGATAACTCTATTTTAAAGATTTTAAATCAAAAATACTGGCTGCTGTAATTAAGTTTTACCCCTTAATATAATCCCCGGTTGAATAGGCAGTTTTTCAAAGTTCGTTCGAATAAAATACAAATAATAACTTATAAAAATAATTGGTAGAAGGTTTATACTTTTTCCTTGGTTTTTCTTCTCGTAACAGTTATTTGGAACAGGTGTTTTTTATGCTATCGGACGTTTCTTTTCATTTGCAAATTATTATTACTTTTAAAGTGCAATGTCATCGTACCTCTTGACTTACGCTAGTCAGGGTTTTACTATAGCTTTTTGATGCTTTTAGCATTTGTTTGTTTTTCGTCCTATTTTATTCCTTTTTTGTTGCTATTTTTTAATTAGTTTTTCGATTTTAATTCATAGCTTTTTTTCTTTGCGCTTTTCTCAGTTTCCTTCTATTCTTATTTTTATCTTTTTTTATTTATTTCTTACATAACTCTTTTTGCTTTTTTTAAGCCTGATTTTCGCTAGCGACATAAGCAAAAGAAATAGAGGATATTACATGGGCGCGCGAAGATACGAAATTTATCTTCGAGTGTTGAAAAGATCTCTCACGAGTGAGCGCAGCGAACGAGTGAGAGATTTTCAACACGAGAAGATAAATTGCGTATCTCCAAGCGCCCATGTAATATTCTGTTTATTATATAATTATCAATGAAGTATGTTTTGGCTTTTTCAGGCAATTCTTTCCGTGTATTTTTGAATAGCCATCGCAATGGTGTTATTTTCACGTGTGAAGATATCAATTTTTCGAAAAGGAGAAAAATAGATATTTCATTGGTAATTATATAATAATATTTCTTATGCGAAAACAAGCTCAATTAAGGTATATAAGCACGAACGCAAGTAAATGGAATAGTTTTTTTAGTTTTTCTGCTTGCATGTATGCTTGCGTCGCTGGTGAAAACCATGCATTTTTAAAAAAACCCCTTCCTTTCTTCCCCTTCACTTTATTACGTATAACCCTTGAATCAAAGAAAACATTGCAAACTAATGGCCTCTTTTAAGCGATAAACAGGACAAAACCGTTACATTATCATGCTTAACTCAACCAGAGATGAGTACTTTCAATCAGTCTCAACTTCGGCTATATTTTATACAGGTGATAGAACTGTTCTGACCAAAAAATCACTGATTTAGTGGGAAAACAGGAAACAGAATTAAACAGCTTCTTCAAAGGTTTGTTATTCATTAAAATCATAGGATGAACGGAACAGAGTCAAGACTTACGAGCCGGAGCACAGCTATCATCGCTGCAGAGACAAGTATTTTACTTCTTATTGGACTCATAACCTTTGTCGGAAATCTTCTGGTAGTAATCTCCATCTATCGTAATCCCAGTCTTCGTACCATCACTAACTACTTCGTACTCTCGCTTTGTGTCACGGATATTTTGGCTCCGTTACTCGGTCTCACTCCTATCCTGGCGTGGTCGATAAGAAACCACTTTTTCGAAGTGTTTGGAGAAGGAACGTGTATTTTCCAAGGACTTCTAACAACTGGTCTAACATATATATCTGTAATTACCATAACGCTTATGGCGGTCAATCGGTTTATTCGCGTCTGTAAACCTGATAAATATAGTAAACTGTTCAATAAAAAGACTTCTTTAATAATGATAGGAGCCTTGTGGACAACTGTTTTTACCCTGGAGCTTGTAGCCTTGTATGGCAGAAAAGAAAACAAGTTTGCATTCGTAAAATTTTTGGAACACAAGCTGACTTGCGGTCTTATGTTCAATAGAGATCAAAAATCATCGCGAACGATCGGGACATTGACGCTAATCTTCATTCTGTTAGTACCGTTTATTATCATCTTTTTCTGCTACTTCAAAGTCTTCAAGAAAATCCGCCAACATAAGAGAAGCATCGCTCCTGCCTCTAACCCGAGGAGCCTGGGTACAAGTGTACAAGAAATCAAGGTCACAAGGACGCTCTTTGCAGTTTTGATTGGTTACTGCTTCACATGGATTCCAGTTATGATCGTGACGTTGCTTTCCAACTTGTTTGGTTCACGTTCTCTTCCTCGTCAGGCTCACATGATCGTGACATTCTCGGGGATAAGTAGTAGCGCCATCAATCCGGTGATTTATGGCATTTTGAATAGAACGTTTCGCCATGAATATCAAAGAATCGTTTGTCTGAAGTAGATATGGAGCCGGGTTTTGAACCTTGGCTTTTTTATAGCTCGATGGTTAGCTATAGTTTAAACAGGAAACATTTTTTCTCCGGTAACTTGTCGGTAACTTGTCTGCAAAACGCCAACTGTGTTCGTACCTTCAATTTTTACGTATTTCCAGGTTATAATATTACCATATAGGGAATGTAACAGTGGTGTTTTGTAACGGCTTTCTGTGTAGCATGTACGATTTTCAAACAACTTATACTCGAATAATTGCCATGCCCAATTATTTCATCGAGCATGCGCAGTAAGAAATAAGGGCCCTGGGCACTAGCTTGCTATTAAAACGTCACTTCCGGTCTACTGTTGGATTTTTATTTGGAAAAATTTTATGAATTTTTAAGATCTTTAATATTTTTATCATACTGCCGGAATGAAATTTTAAAATTCTACATAGGTATTGCTGTTATTATTAAACGATTTACACAAAAAATAAGTCAAAGTTTGTATCATTATCCTATGTACATGTAACAATAGACTTCTGTACCTTGGGTATAATATTTTTAAGCTCCCATCTCAGCTAAACCACGTGTCATTCCCTAGAATATCATTTCTCTGTTTAACGGTTGCGCACGAGAAGGCACGTGAATATGAATACAACTCTTCTTCTCAAGAGAATGACACGTGGTCCGAAATACGTACATATCACACCCAAGGTGAAAAGGCTTATTTCACAACATTTAAAGAGATTTTTATTTGGAAATTTAATCAAATTGTTTGTCTTTTTCTTCTCGGTTCCTTTTCATTGAAATTCTCCCATCCCTCCCTTCTATTCCAATACCCATTCCCCGTCACTAGCCCCGATGATACATGTTAATTTCCTCCCTCCCCCTCCCCCTTGTCACCCCCCCCNCCCCTCCATTCCCCCGATATACGACCGACTGCTAACGACTGCAACTGAAGAGACTATTTCTTTCCCTATCAAACCACTTGTCATTCGCTTGAGTATTATTTTCTTTATTTACGAACGCTCAGTGAGAAAATATATATTGACATTGATGAATTTCAAACAAAAACTCGGCTAATTCTCAAGGAATGACATGGGGTTTGAAATGGGAAAATCTTAACGATCAAAAGGACGACTGGATTTATTAAGAGACCCAGACGCCTGGAATAGACCTCATTGGCTCTGACGTATTTTTTTCCCTATTTCAGACCACTCATTCCCTAGAGTATCATTTTTTTGTTTAAGGTTTGCGTTCGGTTCACATGAGAAGACACATGAATATGGATACAACTCAAACAAAGAATATTATTCTCAAGGGAATGACACGTGGTCTGAAATGGGACAACATTACGTCAGAGCCGAGGAGGTCTATTAAGGCTCGTCGTACTAGGACGCGTCTTTTATTAGTAATGATATGAGCTGAAGAAATTAGGAATGTCTTGAGGAGAAGTTCTAGTTATAACTCAACTAAATTTCTTGCTCTCCGTCTTCCAGTTTTATTTCCGCAGGACGAATGACTTTTCCGTCTTTATACCCAATGTTCATGTATCCGGTAGGAATATCAGGAACACGTGGTTTGTCTTGGGTTTTGTGTGTTGCTGCCGGTGACGGGTGCTGCTTTGAAGTGGGTTCTGCTGAGAAAAAAAAAAAACTCATGAAGTGAATAAAAATGAACCAGGCTAGGCATTCATTCATTCCTCCCTTCCTCCCTCCCTCCCTCCTTTCATCCCTCCCTCTATCCATCCCTCTGTCCATCCATCCATCCATCCATCCATCCATCCATCCATCCATCCATCCATCCGTCCGTCCGTCCGTCCGTCCGTCTGCCGTTCGTATATTGGCAGCATACCAACCTTGATCGGTCAAAATAGTGTTCATATACAATGGATTTTGTAGTGTAGTCTCGGTGACAGTTTCAGCAGGAACATCATATTGGCATTCTTCGTTCTTGAGCCTAGCTTTAATAATATCAAAGCTTGGTCTCTGAATAGCATCTCGATTCCAGCAACTCTTCATGACCTCGTAGACGTGAGGTTCACAGTCATCAGGCATCCCCAGATGAACACCCTACAACATAGATTGGAATATTCTGAATATAATTGATAAATGGTCCGCAGAGAAGGTTCATTTCCGATCCGCTCTTAATTTACGCATTCAGGTTCGAATCCAGGGGGGGTGATGAACGTGGTGGCTAGCCACCCCCTTGTGCTCAAATTTCTCGGCATTATCATTAGCAAGCCCGCGTTTTCCTCGCATTCCTAGTAAAACCTTTGTAATAGTTCCCCCTTCTAAAATTTCGCACGCAGCCGGATGTTGTTCTAGCCCTAAGGCATCAGTGGAGAGACTAGCCAGCCCACAGACCTTACCTGCATCCAAATCCCTTACAATATCTGCCAAAACGCGTGTTGATTTAAAGGAGAAATAATATTGATGCATTGCTTTCATGGCTGTTGTTGTGCTAATTTATTGAAGCTGTACTTGGCCGTGTCGAAAATGCTTAGTTACCAGCTGCTATCTTCTGGTGTAATGTTTTCTCATGTCAGATCACGTGTCATTCCCTAGAGCATCATTTCTTTGTTTAAAGGCTGCGCATGAGAAGACACATGAATATATGGATAACGACCAAGGCTCTGAGTACGATATTTGGATACAACTCAAACAAAGTATCTTATTCTCAAGGGTAATATTACGTCGTATGAAATGAAAAATACATTACACCCAAAAGATCTATTGAACAGGCTTGTAAGTGTCTCTCTGACCTTCTTCACAAAGTCCACGACTTCTTCATTTGTATATCCATAATAAGGCTGTAGTGAAAAGGTATACACTTCCCACAGTAGAACCCCATAAGAATAGATGTCTGACTCCACAGTAAACTTGCCGTAGAGTAACGCTTCTGGCGGCATCCATCGAATCGGCATCACCGCTTGTCCTTCAACCTATCAACGATAAACTATCAATTGAGGATTTATTGCAAGGAAAGGATCGACATCTATGGGACAGGATCAAGGATGATGAGACACATGCCCTCCATGGACTGCTCCCACCAAGAAGATATATCAAGCTATGCAAGAGAGGACATGATCCCGGGGGGGGGGGG